ATCCAGCTACTGATGCATGCTCTGTTTGTGCCAAGCACAAGGTCAGGATTAAAGATCCAGACTTGACAGAGAGAGAAAAGCAGATTGAAACCGCTACATTAATTTTGCATCGTCGCAGAGCTCGTGTGTTCTATGACCTCCTAGGTAGGGTCACTAAAAAATTGTTTTACTTTGTGTTTTGATATGATGCAAAACCTGATCCTTCCTAAAACACCAATTGGCTTACAGGCTTATTACTCTCGCCAGTTATACATGTAACTGTTGTTCGACACCATGGAGAGAACAGTCATCAAACAAAAGATGTCCATCTTTACGTATGGCAGGAAAATGAAAATAGTAAGGACAGCAATATGATTGCATCTGCGCTAAGTGACTGCTTGAAGGTTCGCCTTGAGGGGGAAATCCGTCGCTCCTGGGCACTTCGCCTTTTTAGTGACTCTTGTTATGGACAAAACAAGAATATGAACATGGTATCCATGCTCATGGAACTTCGCCAGTTTTTCTCCAATCTTGCCATTGAGTACACATTCCCAGTAAGGGGACATAGTTATCTCCCGGCTGACCGTGTCTTTGGGAGGATTGAGCAGAAGATTCGGAAAATAGACACAATCTTACTACCTCACGAGTACCATTCACTACTGCAGATATTTGTAAATGTGTACATCTATGGCACAAATTGGGAGGCATTTGATTATCGATCTGCTACTAAGTAGTGTGTGAAGGCTCAGAGAAGCTTTAAAATAAGTGAAGCGCGCATGCTTGAACTGAGTACCAACAAGATTAGATTCAAAACAGCTTACAATGGGGAATACTGTTTCCATAGTGCCCTGAAACGGGGCAAGCTGTGGGCTGACCTGAAACCTGCCATACTCCCTAAGCAAACCACTGTCAAGGATGCAAAGAAGCGTGATGTGTTGGCACTTTTGACAGAAATGTGTGTGTCTGATGAGGTGCGGGCGTTTTATAATGATGCATTGTCTGAGGTTAATGACAATGTATGCCAGGGTGATGTAGAGCCAGAGTAAATTTCTCAGAGTTTGAGGGTGGTGTGGTGAATTACATTTAAAAAAAAATTGTAGTGGCAGGTGGTGTTTACAGTTTTCTTGACTTGGAAAGTCATGTTCCTCAGGACTTCCTATGTTCATCTTCAGTAAGTAAGCGTTTTCACTTTGAAGTAAGCTATACTTCTGTCTTGCTGTTAGCTGTAGCCTAACGCTAACTAGAATGTAACTGTGGCCATGCTAGCTCTATGTATCGCTGTTTCCATAGAAACGTAAAACCAGTTATTTCTAATGAATGCTGAGGTTATTTGCATTTGTTCACAGCTGAAGTGTTTTTTTAAATCTACATATGCTTTTTCTGGCGACTTTAAATGTAAATGTTTGCGTTTTAACGTAAAAAAAAACGAAACGTAAAAGTATAAATTAAAAGGTATAAATATAAGGTTGACATAATATCAAATGCCGGGGCGAATGTGGCACAACTGGCAGGGCGTTCGGCCCTCAATCGCAAGGTTGAGAGTTCGAGTCCCACCTTGGCCAAACCTCGCTGTGTCCTTGGGCAAGACACTTAACCCGGCATCGCCCGAGTGAATGCGCGTGAATGGGAAAACACAATTACTGCATGAATGAGTGAGGTTGGGTAAGTCAGACATTGAGTGCTGAGACCACAAAGCTATATAAGCTCATGTCTGCTTACCATTTCTATATTTTATTTTATATTAATATATTGCACATTCTTCTGCCCTTGTGTTTTGATTAATACTCTTGGTTGTGTGCATGCTTTTAGAAGAGTTCACTTTCTGCCTTGGTGTGACATATGACAGATTTCCGGCACCTGTTTATCTTTGTTGTATTTGATTTACAGTTTGTTGATTGTCCAATCAGCGGCCAAGGGTCAAAAACAAAGCAACGAGAGAAACGCAAAGACGGCAAGGAGTGAGATACTGCGGGTATTTAGTTGTTTCGGCAGTGTCCGTCCTGCAGCGTGTGTGTGTCGAGCGACTAGAGGAGACCCTGCGAGGGAAGTCGCAGATGATCGGGACAATTTGCTCACGAAGAGAAAGGAAGAAAAACAATCTCTCAGCCCTTAAAAGTGCAAATCTATGTGACCTAAAGACAGTTGACTCCCCAAACACCTCTACCATCCCATATACAGTTAATAAGTTGGCACTACTTAAAGGGAGCTCACTCTCAAATAAGACCTTCATTGTGAGCGACTTTATCTCTATAAAGATACAGGATTCAGACGTTTTCATTCAGAATTGCATCAGAGCAAATCTTTATTGGAACACAAGCACAACATGATGATATTAAATAAATGAAACATAACACAAACTTTGGCATGAACCCAAAATGACAGGTGAAGGAGCAGTGGTGAATAAAGTATAAATATAAATGACAGTACTGGCTGACTTTGTGATAAAGCACTTTTTGTTTTCTTTATATCCCTGAACTGAATCTCTTTTGGATATTTCACGCAGCCTTCACCTATCAAAACATCATCGGTCGGTCTCATTCAGCATCATATAAATAAATCTCTTCATCTGTCACAATCAAAGTGGAGCCATAAACACAAGTTTTACAATAAATAAATAAATAATGTGTTGGAGCCATGGATTGATATAATTGTCTTTGTGGTATTTATTTAAAGTTAAGGTAGTCTGTTATATATTGTTGTTTTGGGTAATTGATTATTACCGGTATATCACTTATGAGGATTGTGTTGAGTGAGGGGATATCAGGTCACGTGGGTGGAGATGTGTTGATTCAAGTCACCTGTTCACTTTTTATTCTCAGTGGAAGAGGGGTGAGCTGGGTTGCCATATTTTTTGTTGACCGCTATTGTTTCTAGTTCACTGTGATTATGAGTTAATGCGTCAGAGTTAATGCGTAGGCCCAACCTCAGCCTCTCAGCGGCTTCATCATCAGGACAGCCGCTACATTTTGTCAACAAAAAAGGTATCAGAGTAAACAAAAAGACAGCGCAAAGGATCAAGAGGACACAAAGAGGAAGCGGAGGAATCGGTCATCGGAGATAGATCTCTGCTCTGTGAATCACTGCTCTGAATCACTGCTCTGTGAATCACTGCTCTGAATCTCCGCTCTGTGAATCACTGCTCTGAATCACTGCTCTGAATCTCTGCTCTGTGAATCTCTGCTCTGTGAATCACTGCTCTGTGAATCACTGCTCTGTGAATCACTGCTCTGAATCTCCGCGAGATTCACTTAAGTGTGTTTTGTTTGTTTGTGGGCATCTAGTTTATAAGGGTGGGAGTGATGTTGGGGTTTGTATTTTTAATGGGGTTTGCCATTATTATTGTCTTTTTTTAATTTATACATCACACTTGATTATTGTTTTTGTAATTATTGTGTTGTTAATTGAACTTTTTTAGAAAATAGATAATGGATCAAACATTTCTGTCTTCATCCTCTGCAGATAAATGAAAATGATCCACATTTTTCTCATTCTTTTTTTATTACACTTAAACAGTAGCACACAGACAATCATACATGCATATCTGCTGACATCTACAAACTTTTGAAAATATATAATTGAAACAAAATGTCATACTCTTTGGCATACAGGGAATGTTTTATCCCTTTTTTTCCAATTTGCCTGCATTAACAATTAAAATGTTTAAAAAATCTCACAAATAACTGATTATAATAGTTGTAGATGTTGCACACTATGATGAAAGGCCTATTAAACCCCAAAAATATCATTCTAACATGTAATATACAAATAGGCCTACATTTGTCTTTTTTCCTGGTTTAATGTCCCAAATTAATTGATTTTTATAAAGGCCTATTATAGCCATTATAATTGCTGCGACTGTTACTACTGCTTTTTTTCCTGTAGATTTGTTACAGTGAATTGGTTTGTGCAGAATTATGTTACATAAACTGAAAGGCTACAATGTAATTTATATCCTGAGCTAGTTCTTGTTAAATAAATGTATGAGTTCGGGGTACTAAACACATGTCGTTGTGTTCATGATGCACTAGGCAATCATTCATTTGCATAAGGGTTTGGATATTTGATTTTGAAATATCAATATACAGCATTCATTATATTAGAATCACACCGAGTTAGTAAGACGCAGGATTCGAGCCACAGATCTTAGCATGTATTTCACACCTTTTCTGATAATTTACCTCGACTCATGCGCGCCGGCCTGCGCGCAAACAGGTGTCGGAAATCAAGGCAGAAAATGAACTCTTCTAGACGCATGCACACAACCAAGAGTATTAATCAAAACACAATGGCAGAAGAATGTGCAATATATTAATAATAAGAAAAACCCTATGCTCAATAAAATATAGAAATGGTAAACATGAGCTTATATAGTTTTTTGGTCTCAGCTCTCAATCTCGGTACTCAATATCGGACTTACCCAACCTCACCCATTCATGCAGTAACTGTGACTCTCCCATTCACGCTCATTCACTCGGGCGATGCCGGGTTAGGTGTCTTGCCCAAGGACACAGCGAGGTTTGGCCGCAGGAGGTGGGGCTCGAACTCTCAACCTTGCGATTGAGGGCCGAACGCCCTGCCAGTTTTGCCACATTCGCCCCGGCATTTGATATTATGTCAACCTTATATTTTATATTTATAGGGCTGAGAGATTGTTTCCGTTTCTGTGGAGCGCTCTCTCGTTTCCGTAATCTGCCTCTCGTCTCTTCCTGGTCTGGTGTTCTCCTTGCCGTCTTTGCGTTTCTCTCGTTGCTTTGTTTTTGACCCTTGGCCGCTGATTGGACAATCAACAAACTGTAAATCAAATACAACAAAGATAAACAGGTGCCGGAAATCTGTCATATGTCACACCAAGGCAGAAAGTGAACTCTTCTAAAAGCATGCACACAACCAAGAGTATTAATCAAAACACAAGGGCAGAAGAATGTGCAATATATTAATATAAAATAAAATATAGAAATGGTAAGCAGACATGAGCTTATATAGCTTTGTGGTCTCAGCACTCAATGTCTGACTTACCCAACCTCACTCATTCATGCAGTAATTGTGTTTTCCCATTCACGCGCATTCACTCGGGCGATGCCGGGTTAAGTGTCTTGCCCAAGGACACAGCGAGGTTTGGCCAAGGTGGGACTCGAACTCTCAACCTTGCGATTGAGGGCCGAACGCCCTGCCAGTTGTGCCACATTCGCCCCGGCATTTGATATTATGTCAACCTTATATTTATACCTTTTAATTTATACTTTTACGTTTCGTTTTTTTTTACGTTAAAACGCAAACATTTACATTTAAAGTCGCCAGAAAAAGCATATGTAGATTTAAAAAAACACTTCAGCTGTGAACAAATGCAAATAACCTCAGCATTCATTAGAAATAACTGGTTTTACGTTTCTATGGAAACAGCGATACATAGAGCTAGCATGGCCACAGTTACATTCTAGTTAGCGTTAGGCTACAGCTAACAGCAAGACAGAAGTATAGCTTACTTCAAAGTGAAAACGCTTACTTACTGAAGATGAACATAGGAAGTCCTGAGGAACATGACTTTCCAAGTCAAGAAAACTGTAAACACCACCTGCCACTACAATTTTTTTTTAAATGTAATTCACCACACCACCCTCAAACTCTGAGAAATTTACTCTGGCTCTACATCACCCTGGCATACATTGTCATTAACCTCAGACAATGCATCATTATAAAACGCCCGCACCTCATCAGACACACACATTTCTGTCAAAAGTGCCAACACATCACGCTTCTTTGCATCCTTGACAGTGGTTTGCTTAGGGAGTATGGCAGGTTTCAGGTCAGCCCACAGCTTGCCCCGTTTCAGGGCACTATGGAAACAGTATTCCCCATTGTAAGCTGTTTTGAATCTAATCTTGTTGGTACTCAGTTCAAGCATGCGCGCTTCACTTATTTTAAAGCTTCTCTGAGCCTTCACACACTACTTAGTAGCAGATCGATAATCAAATGCCTCCCAATTTGTGCCATAGATGTACACATTTACAAATATCTGCAGTAGTGAATGGTACTCGTGAGGTAGTAAGATTGTGTCTATTTTCCGAATCTTCTGCTCAATCCTCCCAAAGACACGGTCAGCCGGGAGATAACTATGTCCCCTTACTGGGAATGTGTACTCAATGGCAAGATTGGAGAAAAACTGGCGAAGTTCCATGAGCATGGATACCATGTTCATATTCTTGTTTTGTCCATAACAAGAGTCACTAAAAAGGCGAAGTGCCCAGGAGCGACGGATTTCCCCCTCAAGGCGAACCTTCAAGCAGTCACTTAGCGCAGATGCAATCATATTGCTGTCCTTACTATTTTCATTTTCCTGCCATACGTAAAGATGGACATCTTTTGTTTGATGACTGTTCTCTCCATGGTGTCGAACAACAGTTACATGTATAACTGGCGAGAGTAATAAGCCTGTAAGCCAATTGGTGTTTTAGGAAGGATCAGGTTTTGCATCATATCAAAACACAAAGTAAAACAATTTTTTAGTGACCCTACCTAGGAGGTCATAGAACACACGAGCTCTGCGACGATGCAAAATTAATGTAGCGGTTTCAATCTGCTTTTCTCTCTCTGTCAAGTCTGGATCTTTAATCCTGACCTTGTGCTTGGCACAAACAGAGCATGCATCAGTAGCTGGATGGCAAAGCCAAGATTAAAATCACTGGCAAACACAGAGTAATAGAGGGAGTAACTGACATGAGCATGGTTTAGAGCTTCAAAGAGCTCATGAATTTTGCGCACATTTAAGTCACTTGGAAGATACTTGCGGCCTGGGGCTCCCCTCCGCCCATAATGGCTGGCACGGCATGTGAAGGACTGTAAGTGCTGAATGATATTTTCTCTTCTCCCTTCGTTGTCCTCTATCTTTCGCGCACCACCTCTTCTCTCTGGACGTGCCTCAGCAGTCTTGGCATATTATTGTGCAACCCGGGAGACACGGTCCTTGCTGATGCCTGAAAAATGTAATTATTGAGGTTGTCAGTCATCTACCTTAATTAGATAGGCTACTAACTTTGTTTAAACCAATGTGAGATAAACAGCATTAGGTTCACGTAATAAACTTCATTTACTCTGAACAAACTTAAAATGCCTCTCTTAATAAAAGAGATTACTGTAATAAAACCTTTTCCACCTCTCCAAATTGTACTGGCAGACATTTGTGAATTCATTATAATAAGCTTTAACACTAGGACCACCAACATTTTAGACCCCCCTCCAAGCACTGCAGCCGTCTTTCAGACGGCATATGCAAATGTAATTGTTTGTGCTCAGAAGCACACAAATAATGCATTTTTTTTGATGAAGTTAAATACAACTTACTTTTATCTACAAACGAAATAGGCTACCAGCATAAGGCAGGATCGGTAACCTTTGAAATATTGCATGTCAATTTACAATATCTGTCGGCTTTTTTAGTGCGCCGTTTTTTCTGCTGCTCCACGTCTCCCGTTGTTAAAACACATCTAAAAAATGAAACATACCTAACTTTTAGTCTATTTTATTGTTGGATATATTAGGCTACGCATTTTAATAAAAACACTGCAAAAAGAGATAAGAGAGAGATAAAGAGATAAACACCGATGCTCCTCCTCCTCTCTGCAACTGGGTTTGTTTCCCCGACATAGAAGAAATCATTGAACAACACACTCGCGCCAAAAACAACAACAACAACAACAAAAACACGGCTATCTATGGCCATGACAAACTATATAGCCTACAAAAATAACTGCAGAACTCCATAACAGATGCAGCGGCGAACAAACAAACAGATGAACAAATGAACGCTCAGCACCTTGGACAGCACCGCGGCACGTAATGCACATACCTGCGGCAAAAGTGCTCAACCTTTGCGGTGGCACTTCCCACTCACAGGGCGCTTGCACCCCTTGCAGGATAACAATGGTCATATTTTC